CTTCTTCCCCCTCTCTTTCAGACCTCATGGCAGAGTCCCCTTCTCTTTCAACCTACCCTTATTTTAAATACTTGGCCTGTGACTTCCTATGCAACCTCATATCCAGGCCATCCTATGATGTGCTACCTTTGCCAGTTGCCCTATATGTTTCACCTGCTTTTAGTTGCCATCTTTAGCTGGAGCAAGAGTTCCCTATGGCACAGGGGAATCTGCCTCCCCTGGCTGTGTCACAATCAACTAAACATCTTAAAGTTGGTACACGTTTGCCTGGGGCAGCAGCACAACTATTAACTTGCCACTGTTATGCAAAACACCTACATCCACTCCTCCTTCCCCCAATCAAGGTTTGTGGGAATATGCTCTGCTATTTTTGGGAACCCACACAGTGTACCTTATTACAAGCTTGCTGGTATATTTCCTTCAAATTTTTCTTCTGCGCCTTTTGAAATATATCTGAGATTGTCCTGAACTTTATGTTTCCTAAGTTTTCCTTTTCCCAAGTTTCTGAAAACTTTTTTAAGTTTCATTTTTATTGTCTCTATGCTATTCTAAACAGCGGATGTAACACAAGTTTATTTAACCATTCTGATATCAGCCATTTAGATGTTTCCATACTTTAAATAAAAGCAGTAACTTAGGGCAAAATTTTTTTTAGCATTTTAGAATACTTCCTTGAGATAAAATCTGAAAAGCAGAATTAATGAATCAAAAACTGTACGCTTTTTATAGCTCTCAATACATACTGCCAAACTGTCCATGAAAAAAAATGAACCAATTTACCTATCTACCAGCAGTGTTTGAGAATACTCCCTTCATGAAAATTTGAAAAGCAATGAGTGCTTTAAATATTCAATGTTGATAAGTAAATAAATTTTTAATTGATTTTAGCTATATTTAATACTTTTTAAAAACTTGGCTATCCTGTGAACTATTCTTTTGCAAGCTAGTTGTTTTACATAGGTTCATTTCATTTCTAAATTTTAATTATATAATCCCACTAACACAGATTGTTAAAAATAATTTTACAAACATACCAAAAATTTTTTAAATCATTAAAACAAAAACTAAGGTATATTAGGTTGAAATGTTTATAATTATGCCATAAACAGTATCTCAAGTATTTGAGAACTACACTGACTGAAATAAAAGTACAGAAGACACACAGTGGAACAGAAATGAAGACTGGAGGGGGGAAAACTATATAACCAAGATTCCTTTTATGTCCACCTATAAACTGTGTTCTAATTTTTTACTTTAATCCCTTTTAATTTTGCCGTTTTAAATTAAATAGCTCCTCTTTTCAATAATTCACCAATTTTAATGAGTTTGAGTAGCCAAAAAAGTGTTTTATTGCCAAGGTCAAGAAAGAGTTAAATCTTTAAGACTCAAGATAATCTTAGCTTGCAGTGAGTCACCATATCACAATGTCTAGCCACATTCACTATTCTACGACCTTAGCTAATCTTACTATATTCATCTAAAAAATCTACATAATGGAAATAACTTAGCATTTTGAAGGTCAAATAAATAAGGATCTAGGAATATCAAGAGTTAAATATCCCTCTTTAAAAAAATAATTAACATTTATTATCTTGTACAGTCTGTGGGTATCAAATTTGAGAACAGCTTAGATTAGGTGGTTCTGGCTTGGGGGAGGGCTCTCTCTTGAGATTTCTTTTTTTTTAATAGTTATTTTTTATTGTAAATGCCCCTCTTCCAAGCAACATGGAAAAGAAAAATCAAAACATTGACTTACTTCATCATTTTATTAGACTTCTTAACATAGCATGCGTGCATGTTAAATATAGGATTACTTTCTCCTTCATCATTTCCCTTTTATTACATTTCAATAATTTTGCTTTTCCATCAGGAGTTAACTGTTACATTTGTAAGGTAATAATGTTAACAGTTCCACCTCTTGGAAGTATAATATAATGTAGTTCACATATTTTTTTCGTGCGATCTTTCAGAGTACCTATTCTACTTGATAGCAAATAACACGTAGACCCTTGAAACCTATCAATACTTGTTTTATTTTTTAAAAAATCACAGAAATGTGCACTTTCAAAAAAAAAAAAAGCTAAACAACATAAATAAAACATACTGAGTGGTTGAATCAGGAGGTAATGTAAGAAGGTAGTGTAAGGGGCTATCTTACTCTGACAATCCCTAATTAACCTCTTGAGGCAAAATTAACTGTGTTCTTTCATAAGGACAATGACATTTCCTCAAACTACGTAAAGCATGAATACAAGCATTTTTGTAAATGCTATTCTTGTTGATTTATAACATAAACTAAACATTATGAGTGCTAAGCAATACCTCTCCAAGAAAATTTCCTTCCCTTTCCCCACCCAAACTGTTGCCCTTAAGACGCTTTCTCCATATATAACTCTAGAGCTATCACTTGATATAATTTAAAATATTTTCCCTAATAAACATACTAATATAGAAACAAGTTTTGTCTCTTCCCTGGAGTGACCTTAAGATAATACATAATCTACTATGTGAAGCTTTTCCAGCCACCTTTCCCCTCTCAGACATAACAGATCCTTCTCCTATGCATCCATAAAAATAACATAAAAATGACAATCACTGAACTGTATTCTAGTTAGCTGTGTATGTGACTATCTCTGGCTAGTCAAGTATATTATTCAAATTTATGTATACTCTCTATGCACTATTCTAAGACCTTAGTAAATATTTGGCTAAATGAATTTATTTGTTGTTTATAATAAGGTTCTCACTTTGGAATTTTAAAATGGGCTAATGGTCTTATATATGAACAATAAAACAAATTATGATAACTGCTTTCCTAAATGTTCATCCTAAAAGCAATAATGATCAAAGAAAACATAATGAAAGAAAGGAGATGAATTTACATCAAGGCAAAATCTTCAAGGTTATATGAATACAAAAAGTGAAGTTTAGGTTGAATAAAGCATTATAAATTCTCCATAATCCTATTTGGTTTAGTTGTTCTATGATAATTAAATTTTGAAAAGTTGAAGAAATGTGAAAGAAACCAATCCAATAACAGACTTGATAGAACATTAAGTTGTAATTCTTTCTAATGAACAGGAACAGAATATACCATAGCAGAAGTGTGTAATACCATGGAAACAATAGTACACATAATGATCCTCATAGTTGTATGTATTGATTATTATGTGCTGAGACTATCATAAGGACTTTATACATCTCAATTCTCTTATTCCTCACAATAACCTAATCATCATAATTTTTACAGTTGAAGGAAAAAACAATAGTCCCTTTATATTAGTGAAGTTTCTCATTCCTAAAAGACCTCTGTCACTGCTTCACACAGTATTTTTCATCTTCCACCAGAGTCTTCTGAAATTTTCATTTCAACCTATTACTGAAGTTACCCAATTAAAAAAAGAAAAGTTATGAGTTTAGTTATCACTTGCCCTAAAATGGTTGTGTTGTTCTTTTTTACTTAACAAAGTTAATATGCAATAGCTTGCAAAACTTATTCTAAAATCTAATTTAAATTTTATAAAATCAGTAATATTTTAATTATTTTTCATGCATATATTAATATTTTTTATTGATAATTGATTAAATTCAAATAATCTGTTTTACATTTTTTATTTTTGCCAAAGCCAGTGTAGGTCACTGAATATCATAATAAGGTTGAAAATTAGAATAATTGTGTGAGATTAAAAGATAATTTACCATATGGATCAACATGCTCTTTCACTGAAATATATGCAGAGTTAAATTTCACACAGAGCTAGTAGAATCATATAATAGTTATCTTCTCAAAATCTTAGGATCTAGAAATACGTAAGGACACTAAAAGTTTAAGTAAAGAAAATATAGATCACTTATTCACAGTGGAACACTATACTCCTGGACCTTCTGGCCCTGAAACTCAAAGCTTATGCTTTCAAAAATTACAGACTTTTGCTGAGTGTTCCCTGATCTGATTCTCTGAGTATGTCCTCTATGCCCACAACTATGAGCTCAAAGAACCTGTCTGATCAGGAACAGAAAGCAAAATCTAATAAGAGATCCCAAAGTCTAAAATCTTATGTGAAAAATGCTGCATGGATGTATATGAATCACTAAAAAGTTTTAATACTACACTGATAGATTGAGATAAGAAAGTACTCGAAACAAAGTAACAAATAATGAAAAACAATTAGAACACAGGCTTTTCCACATTACTTGATCACTTTTTCAATTTTATTAAAGCTGCCTTTTGTAGCAGACCAACATGATCCTATAACCCACAGACTTAAAGTTTACTAAAGACTTTTTCATCCAAGTCTAAACAGACTCAACTTCACCATCAAGTATATATAAACAATCTCAGCTTAACAGAGGATAGTACTGAAGTAGATATTAAAGTACAAGGATAGGAACATGAGTAAAACATTAATGCAATGAGTAAACAACCAACAATTCCAGTCTTCTAACTAAATCAAGAGCAAGTGAATGCATCAATTTTTTAAATTCACAAGTTAAAAGCTTATCTGGTCAATAGCAATTTGTTAATTTTACTAATAATAACTATTTGTTGTTTTGGAATTCCAGAACTCTCAGAAGTTAAACTACGAAATAATGACTATCAACATTTATGTCGATCTCCCTTTAATTACCCTCCCTTATGGCCCTTCCCCTTTAATAAAAAGGATTGAGACTAAAATGATTATGATTACAACAATAAGTACAGCACCAAAAATTTGCCTATGTGGTAACAGAAACCCTCATTTTTTATAATACTCTAAAGCAGGGGTGTCCATCCTGTGGCCCACAGGCCACATGCAGCTCCGAATGACTATGAATGTGGCCCAACAAAAAATTGTAAATTTACTTAAAACAGGAGATATTTTTGTGTGTGTGATTATGTGTCATAATGTATTTAATGTGTGGCCCAAGACTAACCTTCTTCCAGTGAGGCCCAGAGATGACAAAAGGTTGGACACCCTTGGTAAAGAGAATGAGAAAAGTAAGAAAAAAAATAGTCTCACCTTTAGTGTGACATCACAGAGTTCTCCATTTTCATAAAACCGAAGAAGAGACCCATGAAAATCTTTCCAAGCTTCATGTGCTTCAAAGATAAAGGAGTCTTCTCCATCACCATCACTAACTGAAGATCTATTCTTTATTTGCTGGTGCTGTTGCCTTTTTCCTTTTGTGAAGTGACTCCTCGTTTGTTTTGTATTCAGAGATTCTGAAGCCATTTGCAACACTCTTCTTTTAACAGAGCTGTCTTCTCAAACATCCCATTTATTCTTTTGTAAACTGTCGGGCAAAAGCAGAAGGTAGGTGCAGCCCACTAAGCTTCAGACAGTTTTAAAACCCACTCAACGGCCATTGTCCAGGTTTCTGAAATTGAAAAATGAACAGAAAACATACATAGAAGCAAATCAAAGAAAAAATTCTGTGACAATTATAGTTTACCAATGATATATATGTACAAAGGCTATATAAATAAAAAGAATAACAAGTGACTTTGGAGATCTTATGCTAAATGCCACATAAATTACCTCAGCAAAATAATGTGACCCTTAACAATGCAAAGATGGTTAGGGGTGTCACCCCTAAGTGTAGTTGAAAATCCACATATAATTCTACAGTTGGCCTTTTGCATTTGTGGACTCAATCCACCACAGATCAAAAACAGTGTTTTCGATTCACAGTTGGAAATGGCATGGTGGGAAACCCATGGCGGAGAATGAGAAAACACTGCTTTTGATCCAGGGCTGGTTGAATTTGCAGATGTGAATCCCATAGACACAAAAGGCAGACTATAAAAAATCCATATATAAATGAAGAAACTCCTTTAAAATATATTTTGAAAATTTTGGGAAGAAGGTGAAATAGAAAGCACGAAGAATTTGTCTTCCCACCTAGACAACAAGTGCAGTGGCAGAATCTGTCTGGTGTAACTATTTTGGAACTTGAGTGTTGAAGGCTTGTGACTTCCATGAGAACACATGAATGGTAAATTATGGTTAATTTTTGTAAATTTCAGCTCCTTGAGTACAGTAGCAGCTATCCATCCCACACCTCCAGCCATGTAGCAAGCAGCTATGCATGTGTTCCTGGAGCAGCTTGCGCACAACTTGCAGGAGCCATGTGGGCAAAAAGGACCCTGTCCTTCGATTGCTGAATACTGTTTCTAAAGACAGCATTATGCTAAGTGAAATAAGCAAGCCAGAGAAAGACAAATACCATATGATTTCAGTCCTATGTGGAATCTAATGAATAAACAACTAACACGGAAAATGGGGATAGACTCAGAGTGCAGGCTGATCGTTCTCAGGGTAGGGGTTAAGGGGTGGAGGGACTGAGCAAAAAGGAAAGAGGACTCATGGACATGGACAGCAGTGTGGTGATTGTGTGAGGGAGGGGGAAATACCGGGAATAAATGTTAACAGAGAAAATATAATAAAAAATAAATTAAAAAAAAGAATACCAGACACTAACTCAAAGCCAAAAGGAGAAATAAATAACTCAATAAAAGTAAATACATGAGTAATTACAAAAGCTAGTATTATAACAAGTCTAAAACTATATGTTTTCTCTGCACAATTTAATAAACTAATACATTTCTAAAAAATTATTAATGCAAAAGCTACTACTACTGTACTTTAGCTTGTAACACCAAATCTTGTTACACACATAATTTAAGAAAATAATTTAAAAGAAGCAAAAAATAAAATTTAAATTAAAAAATAATTTAGAGAAGCGGGGCGCGCATGAACCAGACTGCCTGCGATTGAAACGCAGTCCGCACAGGGGGTGGATCCTTGGCCGAAGGGGTCACGGAACTGCCGGGAGACCCCTGAGGAGAGTCTGGAAACAGAGGCGTTGGGGAAAGAATGGGAGGAGGAACCGGGGAGTCCCGACTCCTTCTCCTTGCCCTCGTCTCCATTGCGCGGGAAGAGGCCACACCCCCAAAGAGCCCAAAGCCGAAAAACACACATAGACACCCCCAAAACACCCAGAGTAGGCGCGCACACTTGCGCCGAGTGACCCGGTGGGTGGGCAAGCGTGTGTGTGACCCACGCCGGCGGGTGAACGGTTGAACCGGCTGGCAAGGCCTCCCACAGATTGGCACCGATATGGCCTGTGAGGGAGCGCACAGAGCGGCAAGGGCAGGCATAAATTTACCCACCCGCCCGCCCGCAATTGCGGAGCAGCCCAGAAAATTAGTAGATCCGTGGTAGGGGTCACAGAGCTGCCCAGAGTCGCTGGAGGAGAGACCGGAGACAGGATTAACCGGAGAGTCCTGGAGCTGACTTCCTCCCATTTCCGTAGTCCCCATTTGGCGAGGGCAAGCAACGCACCCAAAGAGCCAAAAGCGGGGAAAACACACAATAGAAGACCCTAAACTGACCAGTGCCGGGGAGCTCGCTGGCGAGGGGGGCCAGATGAGTATGCGAGGTCGCGAATGAGTCCCCTGGTCTGGGGCAAGCACATGCAAGCCAGGCAGGCAGGGGATCCTGCCGTGCCCGGAGCGCGCTCAAGGAGCCAGTGTGAGAGTGCAGACAGATCCCAAAAAATAGCCCAGCCCTGACCGAAGGGGTCACAGAGCTGCCCCAAGCAGGAGTCAGACACAGACAGTAGACTCCTGGAAGGCTCAAACAAACAACCCAAGGTCATATAGGGTCAACAACTGACATCATCAGAGGCAGGCCCAGAAAGAAAAGGAAAGGACAAAAATACTTAATAGACTCTCACAAAAATGGGAAGAAAAAGAAGTTCCCCCCCAAATGAGTGGAAAAGGGGACTCCCCACAGAGAGAGCTAAATGAAATAGAGGCAAGGGAACTAACAGATACTGAATTCAAAACAATGGTTCTAAGGAAGCTCAATGAGCTCAGCCAGCTCAAAGAGAACTATGAGAAACTGCAGAGAAACTATCACGATCTTACAGCAAACTATATCAGCCTGGAAAAGGACATAGAAACTATCAAGAAGACACAAGAGGATATGAAGAATACCATTTCTGAATTGAAGAACACAGTAGAAGGAATCCAAAGCAGGCTGGATGAAGCCAAGGATCGAATCAGTGAGATGGAGGATAAGGTTGAAAGAAGCTCCCAGAAAAAAACAAGAAATGGAAAAACGACTCAAAAAGAATGAAGAGGCATTTAGGGAAATGCAGGACAACCTGAAACGCTATAATATCCGTATAATAGGGATACCAGAAGGAGAAGAAGAGGAGCAAGGGATAGAGAACCTCCTCGAAAAAGTAATGATGGAAAATTTCCCTCATTTGAGGAGGGAAAGGCTCTCATGGATCCAGGAGGCACAGAGGACCCCACTTAAGAGGGACCCAAGGAGGTCCACTCCAAGATACATCATCATTAAAATGGCAAATGTCAAAGACAAAGAGAGAATCCTCAAGGCAGCAAGGGAGAAGGAGAAAGTAACATACAAGGGTGCCCCCGATATGCCTAGGAGCTGACTTCTCAACAGAAACACTACAAGCCAGAAGGGAATGGCAACAAATATTCCAAGTCATGAAAAGCAAGGGCCTATAGCCAAGGCTTCTCTACCCAGCTAGGCTCTCAATCAAAATAGAAGGGAAAATAAGGAGTTTCCCAGATAAGAGAAGGCTAAAAGAATACATCTCTACCAAACCAGCACTCCAAGATATGCTAAGGGGACTGGTTTAAGCAGATGAAGGAAAAGAATGAGAGAGAGAGGAACACAGGTACAAAGAGAAAAGATGAGTAAGTTTCTATCAGTAATATCTCTCAATGTGAATGGACTAACTGCCCCAATCAAAAGACACAGGGTAGCTGAATGGATAAGAAAACATGACCCACACATATGCTGCCTACAAGAGACCCCCCTCAGAGCAAGAGACCTACACAGATTGAAAGTAAAGGGACGGAAAAAAGTATTCCAAGCAAATGGGCATGAGAAAAAAGCCGGGGTTGCCATACTTGTATCAGACAAAGTAGATTTCAAAACAAAGGCCATAAAGAGAGACCCAGAGGGGCACTTTATAATACTGAAGAATCTATCAAGAAGACATCAACATTGTAAACTTATATGCTCCCAATATAGGAGCCCCCAAGTATATAAGGAAATTGTTGGATGACTTCAAAAAAGATATAGACAGCAACACACTGATAGTAGGGGATTTCAACACCCCACTGTCAAAAATGGACAGATCTTCCAAACAAAACATTAATAAACATATTGTGGCGCTGAATGACACACTGAATCAAAGAGACTTAACTGACATATATAGAACCTTACATCCCAAAGAAGAAAAATACACATTCTTTTCAAATGTTCACGACAGTTTTTCAAAGATAGACCACATGATAGGACACAAAGCAAACCTCAGCAAATTCAGGAAAACTGAAATAATACCAAACTTTTTCTCGGACCACAAGGGCTTGAAACTGGAAATCAAACTCAAAGAGAAACTTCAAAAACTTGCAAACTCATGGAGACTGAACAGTAGACTATTAAACAATGAATGGGTCAATAATGAGATAAGAGAAGAAATCAAAACATTTCTGGAAACAAATGAAATGAACACAGAACAGCACAAAACCTATGGACACAGCAAAGGCAGTCCTGAGAGGGAAGTTCATAGCAATACAGGCCTACCTAAAAAAGATATAAACATTTCATATAAACAACCTAACCCTATGGCTTCATGAACTGGAGAAACAACAACAAAGCCCAGCCCAAGCAGAAGGAAGGAAATAAGCAAGATCAGAGTAGAACTGAATGACACAGAGACTGAAAGAACAATTCAGAGGATCAACAAATCCAGGAGATGGTTCTTGGAAAAGATAAACAAAATTGACAAGCTTTTAAGCAGACTCATGAAGGAAAAAAGGGAGGGACCCAGATAAATAATATCAAAAATGAAAGAGGAGAAATATCAACTGATATCATATAAATACAAAAGACTGTAAGAAATTACTATGAACAATTATATGCCAAGAAATTTGAAAACCTCAATGAAATAGACAAATTTCTAGAAAAATATAACATTCCAACACTGAATGAAGAAGAAGCAGAAAGCTTGAAGAGACAAAGTAACAGCTGGTGAAACTGAAGCAGTAATCAAAAAACTCCCAGCACCAAAGCCCTGGACCAGACTGTTTCGCAGGAGAATTTTACCAAACATTTAAGGAAGAGCTAATCCCTGCTGTTCTCAGACTATTCCAATAAATCCAAGAAGAGGTGAGACTCCCAAATTCATTTGATGAGGCCGGCATCATCCTGATCCCTAACTACAGGCCAATATCGCTGATGAACATAGACGCTAAAATCATCAACAAAATATTGGTAAACTGCATCCAGTCATACATTAAAAAGACCATCCACCATGATCAAGTAGGATTCAACTTGATGCAACAGTAATGTGAGGGAGGGAGGGAGAGGCGTAACAGGGAAAAAAAGGGGAAGGGTCAAATCCAGGAACATGTATAAAGGACCCATGGAAAAAGCCCAAGTGGGGAAGAATTGAGGGTGGGAGGTGGGGGTGGGTGGGGTAGGGGAGGGTGGTAGGGGATGGGGACAACTGTAGTTAAACAATAAAAGAAAAAGTTAAAAAAATTACCTGTTCAATTTCTTTTCTGAAATTGTTAAAAATAACCTGCAAAATACCTAGTAAAAAAAAGAAAAAAACTGCCTAGATAACTGAAGCTAACGGTTTTTAGAACCTTTTGAGGGAAGGATGGCCATAAACCCCTTTTGAACATATTGAAAGCTGTGGTCTTCTCCCCAGAAAACTACTGTACAGATATATCCAGAATTTACATTCTTGGAAAACCACTTATGGGCATATCTGTAGGTCAGGCTAAGAACTAGTGAGATGACATTGTACTTCTGCCAAGCAATGTTTTGTCATTCAATGTGGTGATGCCACTAAAAAGTGCTTTTACGATTCACCACGTTATAAAGGAAAGTGGGTCATTTTTAAACTTATTAATCACTCCATGGGTTCTAGGTATCAAGTAAATTGGTTGAAGTTTGCTTTCTAAGTATTTTAAAGCATTAATAGAACTTACACAGAAAATAATGAAGTATAATTCCACTCTCCCCTACATTGTTCTGTCCCATTCATTTTTATAAATAGAACTATTATATCCTTTCACCCACAACTTGGAAAAGATGTGATATGGTGTGCCGAGAATGGGCGTGGCCTATGCCAAACCCTGACCGTACAGACAGTGGCAGAAATATGCAATGCGGTTACTGGGCACATGGGACACTAGTCCACCATATCAGAAAAACTTCAGCTCAATGACTCTCGCTCACCTTTTATTGTAGCTATATCTTAACATCAACAAAGAAAAATTAATATAACTAAAATGTCCAATTTCTTCTTGCTTCCTTGGCTAACATAAAACAAGTGTTTTCAGAAAAGTGAAGAAATGGTCAACTTAATGAGTTTTAGAACTGAAAATAGGACATTTTGTTTTCCTGGGAAGCATTTCTCCCCCCCTACCTCTTTACTTCTTACTATACTAAAACTAGCAATTGTTGAAAATTCAAATACAAGAAACCAAAGTTTAAACATTAAATTTTTTAAAACAGAAAAGCTATATGAAATTAATTTATATGTTTAAAATATGTTCTTTAATCTCCTAAAAATGATAATACCCATTTCAGTTCTCTACAAGTTTCAAAAGTTCTTGACTTTTTTTGAAGGAGATATTTACCTAAACCCATAGAATAAACAGACGCCAAGAGTGAACCCGAAATCCAGAGTAATGTAAACTCTGAACTTCAGAGTAATGTAAACTCTGGACTTTGGGTGATAACAATGTATAAATATAGGTTCATCAGTTGTCACAAATTTACCATTCCAGTGTGGGGATTATGTGAGGCAGGGCAGAAGGCATCCCGAGGCGGAAGGCACCTGAGATATCTCTGCACCATCCAACTCAATTTTACTATGAACCTAAATATACATGTATTTTACTCTGAAAAGCGGCTGGGGTGTTTTCTACCCCTCTTTCTTCTTAAAAATGAGGAAATACTGTTTGGGGTGTTGTTGTTTTTTTTAATTACACTCACTGACAGTGAATTAAGTTCCCTGCCAGGACACAGAACATGAAATTATTACAGAATATATTATCATAAAAGACAATAATAGTAATCTCATCAAATGCTAAAAGAATGAGTAGCTTTAAATGTTAACATGATGAAGGTAAATGCAACAATAGTTAAGATACAGTGTAAAGATTTTTAAAAAAGAAAAAAAAGTGCTATTTATTTGGACCAAAGTAACAATGAGCCAACAGAAATCAGATCCTCATGATGAAATTTCTTTTTATATCTATACAATACTACTTGTTATCTCAAAGGCAATTTATAAAGTGACTAAAATCTTGAAGTGGGTCATGGGTTGGCTGAATAGGGGTGGCAGTAGGAAGAGGAAGTGCAACAACCAATAAAAAAAGCCACTGCTTGGAAGAGGTCCGCTGCTCACCCAAGTCTGCCCTCTGGCAGGGTCAAGACTGGAGGGAGATTCGGGAAGAGGATTTCCTCATGGAGTGAGAATGAAGAACACCAAGAGCTGAACAATGATCAACTTACACAGGAGAAAAGCAATGCAAAAAAAGAAAGGAAAAGGTGCAACTAGCAGATAAAATACTTTCAACTCAAGTTCTTTCAAAAACTTTTTCCCAAAGAATCCTTCCAAAGTGGTAACATTAGTGAAGGGACCTAAGTTTTGCCTTCCTGAAGTGGCCTTTTCGGAATGTTGATTTTTAAGCTGTTTATTAAGAAACAAGACTCAGAGAGAACCACTGACCCTCCCCCCTTTCCTGCCAAGACATTCAGACAAAGAAACCTGCTTCAGGAAGGATATCTTAGGAAGTCGCCTTAACATAATTCGAATTCTGTATGGTAAACAAGAGGGCTTCAGGCCAGATACTACTTATGTTTCATTGTTCCTGTGTTGCCTAGCAAGGATTTTCCTGCCATGTATGTTTCGCTCTTAAACTATCTGTAAATCGTCCATTCCCCGCCCCCCCACCTGCCCCCTTTTTTTCCTTTGTCCAAGATGTCTTATATACCCAATGTTGCCTCACTGTTTTGGGGATCTTCGTGCTTATGTGAATTCCCCATGCACATATATTAAAAACTGTTCATTTGATGAGTAACCCAGCCAGAAGAACTTAGAAGGTGGGGGGAAAAGTGTTAATATTATTTTAGCTCACACATTAGCAAAGGGTAAAAGGGCCAGATGTGTTTATGCTATTAAAACAGACTAAAAGAAAAATGAGAAAAGTTCAATTTTCTACAAAATTCATTTGATTAAACGCTGCCAAGAGGGAAAATACATAAAAAGCTTTTCAAACCCAGGCACCCGGGAGTGTGCAAACCCAGGAAAGGGCGAGCCCCAGCCTAGAACACACCGATAATGTAGACAAGACGCCCTCCCTGAAGAAACTAGCAAGCTAACGAACCCAGGACGGAGTGGAAAGAGCTGGCTGGCATCCCCGGAGTAGAACAACTCCACTGAGCGTCTGCATGTGTTGGAAAACGCTGCAGTCTCTCGTGTCACACCAGGAGGCACTCTTCCACACCGTCTCCACCAGCATGGGAGGTACGTACACCTGTTGCAGGCAGAGCCCCTGATACCAGCAGTCAGGACCCACAGTGAGCCCGCTGAGGGGCAAATCCCGGACGAGCCACTCACTCCCGCCCCCAATCCCAGTACCCGCAAGCCAGGGACAGGCAACATGCCCCTGAGCTAGCAAGTCCGGGAAGGGCAGCTACGCCTCTCAGCTGGCCGCGATTCCCGAACAGCAGGGCCCAGAGACAGCCTGCCGCCCCACCCCCACAGCCCCGCCCCCCCGCAGCCGTTGTTCTGGGGGCGTCCAGTGCCCTCCCTGACCCCAGACCCGCGCCAGCCGCATCGCTCACTCCTCGGAACACGAGAAGCACCTGCCGGCTCTCTTTTCCCTAAACGACAGACAGGGGCGACAGGGGTGCATCACGGGGCAGCTGACAGACCCTGAGGCTGGGGTTCCCCTGGGGGCACTAGACCGTTCCTCCCGCCAAAGGGCGCAATGGAAGCCATGCAGCACTTTAATGGGCCCAAACCCTCTTGGCTATGGAGTTTTGTTTGCTGCTTGCAGGGCTAGAGTTTCCCAGGCGCCTGAGGCACAACCCCGGACAGGATTCAGATTTGCAGCTGGGGTAAGAGAGGGCTCGGAGCGCAGGGCGCAGCACAAAGGGGCGGAGAGTGAAGGACAACGAGTGTCCAGTTACCTCGGTCCTGGGCTAGTCCCTCTGCTCAGTTCCTTCGGGCCTCGCCAGGACTGCAGCCGAGCTACCTGGTTCCCTCAGCTTCCAGACACTAGCCCTGCAGGAGCCCTCCAGCGGCAGGAGCCCTGCGTCCTCCTGGCTCAGGACCCTAGAGCGGTGCCTCAGGGGCGGGGCGAGGAGCGCGCGGACTGCGCACAGCACTCTGGGAAGTGTGGTTTAGGGTTCCCTCCCCTGGGTGTCAGTCCCCAAGTCCTGGCCGCCCCCTGCTCACTCGTGGTGGGCGGGAGCCTGACAGGGCCTGAGCGGTGTTGTCCTGCCACTATAGGGCAGGCCGGGGCCTAGCTGTAGTCCAGAAACCACATTTTGGGATAGGACACTGCGTAAATACCTCTGGAGTTACCAGTTTCTTCATTTCAGTGCCAGTACAAAATTCAGTTTATTTTTGTATCCACCAAGTTCCCTCATGCGGGTGGTGTTCTTAAGGTTTATGACTTATAAAAAAAAGCAGCTCATGTTTGTAACTACATACTCACAGGTTATAAACCAAAGAAAGCAGTTTATTGACCTAAGCGCTCGCTGCTAAAAACCATGGTGAGTAAAAATGATGTTGAAGTAAGCCAACTTTTCAATAGTCAATGGAGTATACGATGATAAAGATAAAGAGCAAAGAAAAATTTTTAAAAGAACGATATTCCCCTAAATATGTCTTGTTATAATTCAACAGTAGATACATTTGTGAATATTAACACTTAGGCTTGTATTATGCTAGAAAAGAACTTTTTTTTTTACATTAGCTTCTTATGTAAAAGTCCCAAAATGACTTTTTGCATTTGAAATTTCATTTCTAGGATCTAGAAGAGAAAATCACTTTTTTTACATAGCAGAAATAGAAATAAATAATTCTTAATATTTCAAAATATTTCTCTTCAGAGTATATTTTGCAAACTTAATACAAATGCCCTTAGAAAAATAGAGCCAAGACCAGTTTTAAGTCTTGCTTAAGCAAGACCCCCCCCCCCCCCCCCCCACACACACGTAAAATTTGTCTGGAAGCATCATGTAATACAAGTCCTATATTTAATGGAACTATGTTATAATAGAATTTTTTTTAATAATATGAACTTTTTTTTAGTCAGATATGCAATGTTTTCTAAAAAAATGTTTATGGAGTAGATCTCTTTTTTTCTGATTATTGACCTAAGCAAACACTGGAATACTTGTAGTTACTAATGACATCAAAGAAATAGTCATAATATTTCCATATTGTTATTATTTATTCAGAAGTATTTATTGAACATCTACTATATGCCAGACCCTGAGCTAGGAACTGGGAAATACACAATGAACAAAACTGAAACCCTTGCCCTAATAGAGGCTTAAGATCTAGTAGAGGAGACAAAGAACTAAGCAGATAATGTGAAATAATAAGGTATTCATAGGGTGGCCAGGGAAGGGGGAACATATAAGGTGCACCGATGTAGAGCTATTTGTTGGGAGAGGGGAGTCAGGAAAACTTTCTGAAAATTAAATGAGATTCTCAAAGCAAACGATAAACTGAAGGGAAAAGTTCTTCCCTTAAAAATGGCATATCCACAACAATGCTCTCAAATAATTATTTTTAAAATAAGTATTTTATAAAACAAGCTATGTCTTGATGTGGTTCAGGACGTGCTGCCCCAAAGTATGGCATCTTGGCATATAGAATATCTTTTTGCTGAAGGAATCTGTTGACAGAAAGAGGAATGTCACTCTCCCCTCCACACCCCATTCTCCCTTCTTTCCCTGAAACAGGTCGTAAAACTCCTTTGTAAAAGGTACTCTCCCTGTTCCAGTAGGAAAGAAGACATTTTTATCACCAGAGAGGGAATTTAGGGCTGAGAAGGCTATATAAACAAATCTTGTAAAACTAACCTTTGTCTTCCTAGATATTGGGTTGGCCAAAAAGTCTGTTTAGTTTTTCTCCATAAAATAAAACACATTTTTTCATTTTCACATGTAACTTTATTGATTTGGATATTTTGAGTATGCAGGCTATCTCCCGCATGGTAGACTGTTGATTTTTCCCAGTTCATGTCTCATTTTGATTGCTATCAACTTCATTCGGTCTACCTGATCATGCAGCATCATCCAGCAAGAAATCTCTAGCATGAAACTTCGCAAACCACTTTTGACACATTCAGTATATTCAGTACATTTGATCAGTCACAGCACCTTCTCCATACACTGAATATATATTTTTTTGCATTTCAGTTGCATTTTTACCTTTCTTGAAAGAATAAAGCATAATACGCTGAAAATATTGTATCCTTTCTTTCATCTTCAATATTAAAGTGGCTACACAAAAATTCACCAGTTTTGATAACTTTTTTTAAATGCGTGCTGATATGACAGCTGTCACTACCTAACAAAATTGTTTCAGATGAAGTTCAAGACAACTAAGTTCTACTATAGCCATCATATGGAAAAAAACCAAATGAACTTTTTGGCCAACACAACACTTCTTTGCCATTTACTAATCCCAGCCCAAATCCCTTTGTCTTGTCTATTCTTCACAAATTCGTTTATTTGTTTAAAAGGTACAAAAGATTCCAGCTCTGGTCATTTCTTTGGGTCTTCATTCTTTTGTGAAGGCTCCCACGTACATGTAAAAATTCGATAAAATTGGTATGCTTTTATACTGTGAATCTGTTTTTGTCAGTTTAATTTTCAGACCCACCAGCCAGGGACATTAGGATGGTCAAAGAAAACTTTTTTCTCCCCTACAACTTCAACTGAAAGAAAAGAACACATATTTCCTAAATCTAACAAAAAGTATCTTTGCTTTTATTCATTGCTCTCCTGCTCTGTTTGAGAATAAACAGGGCAGGCCCTTAATAAGCAAAGATCTTTCATAAGAAACTTCTTCCCTTCCTTAAAATCCCATAAATCAAAACTGGGAAGGCTCTGGTATCTGTTGGCTCATTGTCTATTGTACTTTGGTCCAAATAAATTGCACTTTTTTCTTTTTTAAAATCTTTATTGTATTTTTTTCCCATTACCATTTAGTCCCCTTATACCCCCCTCCACCAGCGATCACCACAATGGGGCCCATGTCCATGAGCCCTCATTCCTTTTTGCTCAATCTTTTTACCCCCTCCCCTGCCAATCCCTCCCCCAAATTGCAGTTTTAACCTTAATTGACATTTACATTTATATTTACATCTTGATCTCTAATCCTGGACTAAAAGGCTTTATAATCTCTGAAAGAATTTCAGATAGAGCCTGCATAGGGATTTGAAAAGATTAATGAAGAGGACAATTTTATCTTAATTTGCAGTGAGGACAATGCTCATAACTAGAGGGCCGTCCTCTGGATAGCTGCCTGTCTATGAAAACGTCATTAAGGAGCCTTCACACCACCAGCAAGATCACCCTTCCTGTCCAGGTCAAAGTCACGGGACTGGAGGTAACCCTTCTTCCTACTCCTTGACCCCTGTCTTATCACCTTCCACCATAGCCACCCCTTTGTGTGATGCTTCAGCTTCCCTTAACAACAATCACTTCCTGCCTTCTGCCCCACTGCAAACTGTTTTCTGGCCTTGGCCCAGTGGCCCAGCTTATGCTATTTTAGTTAGTTTATGACAGTTCTTCCTCCCTTGCTAGCAGTCTGACATAGATATCTCTAAACCTTTGCTGACTTTTCCACTTTCACCTCCGAAATATTTGAATTTCCTTAAATTCTCTCTGAGGGTTTGTACCTGTTGTGCCTTCTTCTCCCTCTTTACATGGCTAACACCTACCTACTCATTATTCCAATATCAGTTTAGATACTGTTCTCATCAGGAAGTTTTTCCTGGTTACAATACCTCTCTATTCTGGGTTAGTGCCTTCTGTATATGCTTACATTGCACTTATTTTTGCCCCTAAGTTAGCACTTACCAGTAAGCATTTTAATTAGTTATCTAGTCTTTCATTTGTCTAGAGCTTCTTAAATAGAAAGTAGGAGCACAGCATTTGAGATATAATAGCTGTTTAATAAATACTCAGGCAATAAGTGAATGCATATTAATTTTATGCAATAAAGAAGTACTCAGCAAGTATTTTCTGTAAAGGGACAGATAGTAAATATTTTAGGGTTGTGGACCATAAGGTCTCTGCTGCGACTATTTGACACTGCTTCCTAAAGAAAAATGGCTTGCTAGTTCCTCCCAGATACCTATGTAAGACAGAATTTGAGTTTAAAATTGAGTGTAGCTTGGGGCTAGAGGACAATGCTTGAGACCATGTTTCCATAGCTGGTACGTTGTTCTTGTTTAGAGTGATTATTTCAGGTAGTTTTGGCTTAGGTGGGTAGATAGAGCTAAAAGAGAAGGTATCCTTCGTATGGCCACTGCTAGTTCAGTTTGTACACAAAATTCTCTTGAAAATTAATTATGTTTGGAGAGTTTTTAAAATTTATAATTTAATCTGGGGTTGTTTTGTTGTTTTTCCATTTTTTAACATTTCACTTTTGCTGTTGCATCCCACCCAAGTCAAAGTCACTTTCCATTTCCGACAAACTTGCCTAGACATGGTTGAGCTTTCAGGCTGCATATACGGGGAGTTGTCAAAATCTCTCTAGAGCAGTATGTGAAATGACAGGATGAGAGCAATTTGTCTCCATCCCCACCACACTCCAGAAGTGCTGTGACTTTAGCTATCAGAAAAACACATTGAGAGAAATTTTGTTTTCCAGTCTCTATGTTTGAAATGTGTGCAATACACTTCTGAGCAAAATTGTATCCATATGTATGGTAGAAACTGACACAGTGGAACAAATGTAACCCTGTTCCAATTTCAATATGTATTGCAAATATATGATGTTTAAGATACAGATCTATATTACATCAGCTTTCTGATATTATCTTCACATTCTCATAATGAAATCTACCTCTGAAAAGTTTATTTATTTATTTTAATCCTCACCCAAGGATACGTTTATTGATTTTAAAGAGAGAGAAGGCAGGGACGGGGGGCAGAGAGAGAGAAGCAGACATCAATGTGAGAGAGAAACATCGCTTGCCTCCTTGCCTCCTGTATGCGCCCCGACTGGGGACTGAACCTGCAACCTAGGTATGTGCCCTGATAGGGAATGGAACCTGCAACCATTTGGTTTTTGGGATGATGCTCCAACCAACTGAGTCACCCAACCAGGAC